TCCGTCTTCCTTATTCCCCTCATTTCGCCGTTTAATGAGTTCAGGCGGTCCAGTTGAATGCTAAGGTGTACATAGCTAATGGTTTCTTCGAGTTCTTTAGCATTCGCGTAGACGGCGCCATTGGAGCAGTATTCGTCTCGATTCCATTTCGTCGTTGATAGATTAGCCTCTAATCCAGTGGCGAGAGATTTTTCTTGTAACTGCTAGATTTCGTGTTGGGGCTCTATCGTATCTAGCATGAAGAGAATGCAATCCTCCCAAAATAAGGAGTGCGTTAGTTGCTTTCTATCAATATTCATAGCTGTCAACCTCATCAACAGTTGAAATTATTAGAAATTAATATTTTATAAAATTCATTACTGATTCTACTGCTGTAGTGCATATTTTTAGATCATATAAGTAACATTTAATTAATCACCTCATCATGGCACGTGTACACTTTTCACATTCGATGTTCGCTTCAACGTTTGATCTATCAGTTCAATCAGCCTCAGGGGGGAGGAGGTTCCATAATGGTTTTCGTCCGATGTTTAATGAACTTATCTCATGTGACAGTCCACTGCGGATAAGGTTACATGATAGTCTGATTGGCTGGTACGTATCAGAAGTAGACTGAGACGCATCATACATACTGAACCAACCAATATGTATTAGAATCTTTTGTGATCTGAGCGAAGAGGGAAGTGAAGATGCATTTGATTATCATGCAGAGACATAACAGTGTTGAAATAACTTATGAATGCTCTTCGCTTGATCCCTAGCTTTAAGTGTGCGACATGCGAGACCTTAGTGCTCAATTCAACACTTTCAGCTCTGTGAAATACGCGAGCCAATGCTGTAAAAATAGCATTTCCAAATATGGAATAAGTTAGGAAGGGAATAAATGAATAAGTCTAAGATAATGCCTAAGAAATGATTCCGTGTCTTCTGTTCTTCTGTTTCTCTGAATTATGGTATACATTATATTGTTCTGATGGCTGGAATATTCAATTTAGTGTTAACTCTTAGCCGTACATGTTTATTAATTTGCCTTAGAGCAATGACTACTGGGTCATTTAAATTTAATCAACTTAAAATACTGTTTTGATTTCAGGCTGCTCTCAAAAGAAAGTTGACATAGCCTTTGTGATGGACAGTTCTGACGGCATGAGGATGTCGTTCAAGGAGCAAAAGAAAGTGCTTATTGATCTTTCAGAGAAGCTTCCTATCGGGGTATCGTCCACATTAATTTGCTTAATACAGTATAGCAAGGTGCCCATATTAGCGTTGCCGTTTCACTGGTATCAGACTAATGAAGAGTTCAATAAAATTGCGAAAGGACTGACGGAGCTGAAAGGCGGCTCATATTCGGCCCGTGCCTTCACATTTGGCGTAAACCAGCTGCTGGTCAACG